ATGTGAGTGGGAGACAGAGATGTTGGGGCGAGAGGCACAGTGTGGTAAATGGTGCGAGAACATGGACTCTGGAGCAACCCCAGCTCTGCCACTTACTAGCCATGTAACCCTGGGGAAATTTCTTACCTTCTTTTGCTTCAGTTTTTTCATTTGTAAAATGAGGATAAAAATACTGCCTACCTAAGGATGGATATAGCTCAGCGGTAGAATGCATGCTTAGCGTGATTGAGGTCCTGGGTTCAATACCCAGTACCTCTGTAGAAAAAAAAAAATACTGTCTATCTCATAGGGCTGTGAGGTTATGAAGTTAAATGAGTTAATATAAAGTGCTGTGGACTGTAAGCACTAAGTAAGGGTTAACTGATACTATTGCTGCTACTATTCTTAGCACTGTACTCACCAGACTGTGGGTGTGGGGAGGGTATTTCTGCTGCCACGCACTCGTCCAGCCATGCAAACTCTGCCCTTTCCTGAATTGAACAGGGATGGTCCCAGGTCCCCACCCCTATAGGGCTGTGTCCAAAAGGCCACTCCCCAGCTACAGCCAGGGAGGCTTTGAGACAGCCCAGTGTGAAGGAATGGACAGCTTCCAGCCTGGAACTTCCTAGAAGCCAGAAGGGCCTTCAGAGGCTGGCTACTGCAAGACCCCCACTCATCTCTGAGAGGAGCAGGGATTGACTTCATGTCCCTCGTCCTCAGTATGTTAGTCACTGCAGTTTCCTCCCTCCTAGTCCAGCCTGTCCCTCTGCCCACCACCCCCTGCAGGGCCTGTTCCTGGCTTCTGTGGCGCTAGAACAGCAGGCCCTGGGAGAACTGCTGGGGACAAGGACTAGCTCAGGGGCCAGTAGTGTGAGATGCCAGCATGGGCAGAAGCTCTCTGGCAATGGTGGAGCCAAACTGAAGCTAGTAAGAGCCTGCCAAGGATGCTGCAAAGAGGATGGGAGGAAATTAGAGGGACCTTTATAGGTCTAGGACTTCATTTGTGGGCCTTGTGGATATGTGGTGGGTCATTGGGCAGGTGTGGACTGGACAGTATAAGGCCCTGATGTTCACCCTCACATCCATTCCAGGAGGCCTACTTCAAGAAGCACAAATTCAACACGGTGCCAGGTGTCCAGCTCAGGAACGTGGACAGGTGGGGACTGGAGTCATGGCAAAGTGGAGGATATCTAGGAGCCCTGATGACTGGTACCTGACAGACCTTCCAGGCCTGGGGCCTATGTGTTTATCCCAGCCCTGCTGGCCCCGAATTCCCATGTGATCCCTTGCCCTGCCCCTGGGACCCCTCCCTCCTGACCCATTTCTCTCTCCCCTTCAGTCTGAAGAAGGACGCTTATGAAGTGGAAGTTCACAGGCTGCTCAGGTAAGGCCTAGGGCAGTAGGGGTATGTGGCAGGGAGTAAGGAGGAGTCAAATACTGGCAGTTGTGGCCCTGTAATTTGGGGGGCCTACTGCAAAATGAAGACCAGGGTCCCTTGTTCAAAAATGATTTAAGAATTTCAAGACAGCAACAGTATAGCATTAAAAGCACAGGGCCTTGTGTGACACACCCATGAGGTGGGCGCTGTCTTGGCCTTTCTCCCTCCCCCTGCTACAGTGAAGCTGAGGTTCTGGACCACAGCAAGAACCCTTGTGAAGACTCTTTCCTGCCAGACACAGAGGGCCACACCTATGTGGCTTTTATCCGAATGGAGAACGATGATGACTTCACCACCTGGACCCAGCTTGCTAAGGTGCCCCAATACCACACCTACCTCAGGAGTACCCCTCCCCCAAGATACAAGGAGCCTTTCTGGAATCTTCTACATCAGAACCTTCTCTTCATACTCTCAGAGCCTCTCTTCTAATCCCCTTTACAAATCCGTATTCTTGAAGATGCCACCTCTTGCAAATTGAGGAGGCTGCTGAGGAGGGCTGGGGGGCCAAGGACCCTCCCCGCAGCTCTCTGACCCATTCCTTTGCTCTGCCCCGCCCCAACCAGTGCCTCCATATCTGGGACCTGGATGTGCGTGGCAACCACCGGGGCCTGTGGAGATTGTTTCGGAAGAAAAACCACTTTCTAGTGGTGGGGGTCCCAGCCTCCCCCTACTCGTGAGTGACTCTTTTGTGTCCTTGGAAATAGAAGACCAGTGGGATTAGGGGACATAGCCAATGACCTCTTCCCTGTACATTTTCATATTATCTTGCCAGGATGAAGAAGCCACCATCAATCACCCCAATTTTCTTGGAGCCACCCCCAAAGGAGGAGGGAGCCCCAGGAGCAGCAGAACAGATGTGAGACCTCTTCCAGGACCCTGCAGGGCTGGGTACTGTGTACCCCTAGGCAGACTAGACCTTCACCCCATCCTGTAGGATTTTGTAGACACTGGCAGGGGCTGGGGCTGGTTTGTTTTTAACATGAGACTTAATCACTAACTCCCAGGAGAGGGTTCCCCTGCTCCAACACCTCTGTTCCTGAGTTGGAGGTCTATTTATTTACTTCCTTTTTGGGAAAGGGCTGGATAGTACCTGGGATCGTTGGGATCCCTGGGCAGCTGATCCTGCTCTTTGTGTACGCCCTCCTCCCAGGCCTGGCTCAGAATCTAACCTATTTATTGACTGTCCTGAGGGCCTTGGAAACAGGCTGAAGCCTGGGAGGCCTTGATTCCTTTCTGGACTGGGGTGCTGCCCTGAGGGTGGGGCTGGCTCTTACTCAGGAAATTGCTGTGCCCAGCCCACAGACAGGCCCAGCTGGGGCCCACCTGCTGATGCAGACTGACTCAGAGACCCCTAGACACTGAACTAGGCCTCTTCTCAGCCTCCTCTTTGTCCAGATTTCCAAAGCTGGATAAGATGGTCATTGATTAAAAAAGAAGAAAAGCTCTGGGGACGTGTCTTGTGGTTGTGTGTGTGTGTGTGTGTGTGAGAGAGAGAGAGAGGAGGGAGGAGGGAGAGAGAGGAGGGAGGGAGGAGAGAGAGAAGAGAGAAGGAGAGAGATGGGTGGAGAGAGAATGGTCATGATAAATGATGAGTTTTCTTTACTGTCCTCCACAGGATTATCTTACATTTGGGGCCATTTGGCCACCAGGGGATGCCCAAGTCTCAAAACTCCAAGTATTTTACTGAGGCTCCATCCTAGGACAACTGAGCCTGACCTTTGCCACACCCTACCTGGGGCTGAGCTCAGAACAGCCACCCCACACCCCTTTCCCACAGTTTAACCATCAGGCTGTTTCCTGTTTAGCTTATCTGGGTCAGGACACCTATCCCCCAAAATGGAGCAAAAGAGGGCAAAAAGGGATACTTGGGTATGTGGGGGGTGGGGTGATGGAGAGCAGGTGAATATAGTGGGGGTGGAAGGAAGTGGGTGAGACAACATCATTCAGGAAGTGGGGACTGGGCTGTGGATGGAGACATAAGAACAAGGATGTCTGTGGCCCTTACGGTACTTTATAGGCAGATTCCCTATCTGGGCAGTTTTTTGGAGAAAGCTGTCATTTTCATGAGATTCTTACCCAACCAATGACCCAAATTGTTTAGGAAGATCTGAGTTAGACAGTCATGCAAGCATCAGAAAATGGCTGGCGTTGTCCAGAGGAAGTTGTTGAGATAGCCTAAGGCAGGGGGCATGACATTTAAGGGATCTGTGACAGACTTTGGGTCAGCAGGGTGAGTGTAGTGCTCACCCTTTGAGAAGGGGTCTGCCTGCAGAGCCCTTGCAAAGTGAGCCTGATGAGCTCCTTGGCCAGGTAGGCAGGAACTGGCTGGAGCTCCGCCCTTCAACTGGCTCTCTGCCCTTGCCTCCCCAGTGGGTGCCTGGAGCCCTGCTCCGCGATGGCACGGGTAGTGTGGTTTGGACGTTTCTCGCCGCCCTGACGCCTTCAGTGTTTGCTGGAGCTAGAGATACTGCTTGAGGTGCCCCAGCAGCCAGGCTGAGGAGCAACTGGCCTATAACAAGGTGGAGAAGGCCCACCCTGGGCAAACAAATCTCTCGTAGCCTCCATACAGGCACCTAGGGTAGAGTAGTGTGGGAAGCACAGTAAGGTGGTGAAGGGAGGATGGGGCAAATTGCATTCCTTGCCAAGTGCCCCGCAGGCTCCTCATCTGGACCTTACAGACCAGCTCTCAGACACTGTGATGCTGGCTGAGTGTTCCCTTTTGGACTCAGCAAGGGGTGATGGTTCTGGGCTGATGAAATAAAACCTGGAAAGAGGGAACCAGGGGTCAAAGGGAGGCAAGGAGGACTGGTTTGCCAGGTTAGGCTTTGCTTGGTAGTGGACAGAGTATCCTCTGGCCATAGCCTCCCTCAGCGCTGTCACTCCTGCAGCAATCAGATCTATGTCTGGGACATTCTGGCCTAAAAGTTATTCTGTCGCCATGTCATTAGGACCCCTCCAGGCTCTGGAGTCATATAGCCTGGACCCAAATCCAGGCTCAGCTCCTCATGGAAGATTGGAGCCTGGAACAAGGCACTTGGCCTTTCTAGGCCCTTTCTGGAGCGTGGGGTTGGGTAAGACTAAATAGATTAGCACTGGATGACCAAGATCAAGTGTAAGTGAATTTCAAAAAAAGTAAGTGAAATTCTTTCTGAAATCCCCAAAGCAGGGAAAGGTGTGGGGCTGTTCCTGTGTAGAAAGGATGGGCAGCTTGGATCCCTGATGGGGGGCCTCTGGAGGGCTTCCCAGAGTGTAAGGAATGGCCCTCTTCCATTGCCTTGGCAATGTTTCTGGTCTCCCCACCCCCACTTGGACACAAGCTGGTTATTTTCATAGCTTTCCAGTCCAGTGCCCCTACCCTGGAGGTGATAGTTTCAGGCCAAAGCCCTCCCACATTATAGGACAGCTGACTGGACCAGCCCCAACCTCCTCCCTCAGTGTCCTCTTGGCCATTCTTGTTAAGCTCCCTCCTAGGCCTGGAATCCAAATAGAGGTGAGAAATAGCCACCCCCCTCCATGCTACTTCCCTTCTACTACCTTTCTAGGGACTTCTGAGTCAATAGGCCCACAGGATACACAAAAAGAGTCCAAATGGAAACATTTTAATGGGTTTTTGGGTTCCGAAGTGCCTTCTACACATCCGCCCGGTGACTGCTGATTTTGCTTGTGCTCGTGCTATAAGGTGCCTTTCTTTAATCCCCCCACAGAGTACTGGGATTATCAAGAGTTCCCTCCCCCTTGGCCTGAGGGGGTATCCTGGGTTTAAGGGACAGACTGGAGGAATGGACAAGAGGACTGGCTACCTCAGAGGCTCTGGAATAGGTGGACCCCAAACCCACCAAAGGAAGGAAAGGTCAGGCACAGGCTGAAGGTGGTGGTGCCTCTTTAGCTGTGAGTCCAGAGGAGCAAGGAGAGGCCCACTTCAGCCCAAGTGACACTATTAGATCCTGTCCCCACCCTGATCACTGCCTCTTGGCACGGTGTCTCTTCCCAGTTCCTGTATGGCGGCAGCAGTGGCGGAGGCAGAAGCAGACTTATTTCTGATTGCAGTACAGATACATGGACACAATCATGGCAGCCAACTGGTGAGGAAAGAACAAGGAGAGACGTGGAGACATGATCAGGGTCCTGAGGCTTTAGTCCCCTGCCCTACAGACACCCAGCTTGAAGCTCTTCCAGAGAGGCCTCTCAGAGATAGCCCTGACCCTGTGGGGATTTCCTGCCCCAACCTCCTCCTCAACCCCTTACCTCCAAGGCCCCAATTCCAGCTGCCACACCACCTACAGTGACTGCATTGGTTCTGATGTCATACAGAAGCTGATGGAAGCAGCCCTTGGGGGAGGGGAGACAGTGTCTATAGTCAGCAGCTGCTCCCACCCTCATTCAGTGCTCTGAGGCCATTAAAGCAGCCCCCAAACTTCCAGGCCAGCCCATACCTCTACATTCATGTACTCAGCCTTCTCTCTGGTGCAGGATTCCATGACCGTGACAGTTCTGTTAAAGCAACAGTATGGGGGAAAGGCATGGTTCTCTTTTACATAAGGAGAGTCCTCAAAATCCGTGTAGTTGTTGAAGCCACAGCACTTGAGCTGCAGATGAGAAGAGGGGGGTCAGTGGGGCCTCACTTCTTTCTCCTTGCCTCCGAAATCTCCCCAGCCCACCTTACCCCATCCATGGTGGAATTCCACACTTGGGTGAAGTCCTTCTGGGAACCATAGTCCTTCTTGATGGTGGGCACTATCAGCAGCGTCAGGAAGTTCTCAGCCTGGGTGGGGAAGGCTAGTGTTTAGGGTCTGTCAGGAAAGGTGGCCATTCTCAGGCCACAGCACACTTCTAGGGCTTTGCCCAGTTGTCCCCCTATCCCATCCCTACTCCTCACCATCGTGGTGTACACCAAGGCGACCACAGCAGCTGCAACCTCAGCAATGAAGATGAGGAGGAGGATGAAGAAGAACTGAGTGGGGAAGAGGGATCTGAGTTTTAGAGAGAGAGAGTACCTCATGCCTTCCTCACCCTAACCCATCCCCCCATGAAAACAAGGCAGGGGCTCCCTTTGCTGAGGCCCCTGGAGTCTAGAGCAGGGTTTGGGGATCTCCAGGGCCTGGCATCAAGGGTAAGGTAATCCTGGGCCTTGATTACAGGCTTGTGGAGCTGGATTTGACATACCAACATGAGCGCACATTTGCTCTCAGTATGGGCGCCATAGCAGCCCAGGAAGCCAAGAGCAAAGAGCACAGCGCCAGCTGCAATGAGGAAGTAGCCCACGTTGACAAACTGCATGGCACTGGATGACAGTGGCCCGAAGATCTTCAGGAAGGATGATCCATCAACTGACACCCAGATGCCCACTGCCAACAGGGCCGCACCACACAGCTGGGGACAGACAGGGAGACTTTGAAACAGTGCTATAAAGCAGCTCCCTACCACACAGTTAAGTCAGGAAGATGGGAGATGAGAAACTTCTCCCTAATTGGCTATGGGGTTTAAAAACTCATCCTGTAGGAAGGAAAAACATCCTTTAGAGCCAGAAAGGTGGGAGCTGGGACATCTATACCCAGCACCAGGCTGCACACCTAGGCAGATATAAATGGGATCAGGGATTCTAGAAATAGCCACAGAGTAGGGGGAGGGGCACAGCTGCCAGGGTCCTGCCACATAGCTAGGAGTGAAAACAAGCAGGTGAACACCTCCCAGCCCCCCCATTTCTTTTCTGGGCTACAGGTGCCTGGAACACCTCTGTCCTCTGATAGGCAGAAACAGGGGTGTGGTAGCATTGAGCAAGCTCAACAGTCACCATAGCAACAGAGGCGTGGCTGAGATTTACACCTCCCAACCTTGGAGAGGGCGGTGGTAAGAAGGGATACCCACCCCAAAGCCCCATTTGGCTCCCCACCATGACCAGCCTAGCCCTCTCCTTGCCACACAAGTGGAAACTGAGGCACGAGGCGTCAGAGAGGGAGTACAGCCAGAGCCCTTAGAGGCTCCCTGGCCCAACCAACCCCTACCTCAGAGGAACTCCTGAGACCTAGACTGGGGATGAGGGTACTGCCCAGTTCCCACAGCTCTTAGAGCAAAGCCTTCCAAATCCAGAGCTTCAGTGGATGAATCAGACTGACCCCCACTGTGGTGCCCAGTCCCCACTCTGGCTACAGAAACTGAGGCTGGAATCAGCAGTGAGGTGGCAGACTGTGGCTGGATCCCAGGCATGTTTGCCCAAGGACAGACAGCTGGGCTTCTAGCCTACAGGGTCAGATTTCAAGGAGTCTGAGGCTTGCCCTGCCCAGTCTGGCCAGGCCTGGGCAACAGAGGCCAGAAACCTAACTGGATTTGCCTTTAACCCTCTCAGGCCACAGCCCCTGCTCTTCAAGTCTCTGGGATCTGGTTGCCTTCCTAAAATACCTGGATAAAGGCTAGTTCTCTGAAGCCAGAGGCAGCCCAAGGCACAGACCACATCAGAGTCAGAGTTTACTCACCCCCAGCCCAATTTCTCCAAATTCATCTACACCTCATGTCTCCTCTTCCTCACCTTTCATTCACTCCAACCGACTCTCATGTGGCTCTAAGGTCTCTGGTGACATCCTGTGCTTGGTCATGGGCCATATCCTCCTCGACTTCTCTGACATCTCGCTCTCATGGTTTGCTTCCTCCTGCTCTTTCTCCATTTGCTTCCTGGTGGCCATTCCTGCATAACCCTTATAAGCTGGGTTTCCTGGAGTTCACTCTTTCTGAGTGCTCTCACTCCTTCCCATAGCTTCAGTGACCATCTATGGGCATATGACTGTTAAATATCCATGTCCGACCGGAGCAGCAACCCCACTGGGTACACAGCTGCCTGTGGGTAATCCCTCAGGTTGCTCCTGCCAGAGATCTGGTCACCATCTCCAAGACCTCTGTCTCCCTTGCCCCTCCTTCGATCACTCAGCCGCCATCCAAAGGCTTTGTTCTTTGTCTACTTTGTCCATTTCTCTCCATCTCTACCACCATCTCCAGGGTTCATGCCTTATTGCTCAGCTTCCTGAAACATGCCATATACATTCTGTTCCGGGTTTTCTGAACAATATCTGATTTCACTGCCTCTGGGCCTTTCTGCATGCTTTACAACGCCCTCACCCAGTGCAAATTCCCAGCCTCAGCTATTTCCTCCAAGACGTTTTCTCTGACCAGGAAGGGTTCAGGCTCCTCCTATGGGCTCCTATAGCCCCTATGTTAAGACCACATATACTTTGTCACAACTCTCTGCCTCTCTGGCCTTCTGGACCTGAGATCCCTGAGGTCAAAGAAAGGGCTTACTCGCCTGTGACCCCAGCCCTCAGCACAGAGCCTTAAGCAAGTGTTTGCTGAATGAATAAAGGCTGCTTGCAGCTGACCCTCTGGTCTAATTTCTCTGGGCCTTCTCTCCATTTGGCTCCCCACCATACAGAGACCACTGAATTTCATTCTACACTAGGTGACCTTGGGCAAACCCTTTTTCCTCACTGGGGTCCCAGTGCCTGTTAGCCTACCCTGTCCTGCTCTAAGCCTGAGTTGAAGCTTCCTGGAAGGGAAGGGATGGTGTGGCAGCCAGGCTGCTACTGGGGTGAGGACTCAGCATTTGGTGGGACATCGGTACCACACCTCATCATAAGGGGAAGGTTGCAGGACAGAGTCTGGGCATAGCAATCTCCTATTCCCCAATTTGAGCCCTGCTCAGATTGAGACCCACTCCTATAGGGAACCCCAAAGAGCCCAAACCCCTGTACTTACAAAGATGAGCATATTGAAGATGATCATGATGGTCTTAATGAAGCTGAAGCACTGCATGGTGGCTCCTGGGAGGCAAACATGTATGAGTTAGGACCTAGGCCCCCACACCACCCGCCTCCAACCTGAGCTGGCTCTGGTATTTGCAGACTGGTACACCAGACTCCAGCATCCTGGCCTCAGATCACCAAGTTTCCCCTGCATCTGGACTCTGATACCTAAGGACTTTTCCCAGTTCCGATGCTGACACCCCTATCCCTCTGTGCTGCCCAGGTCCTCTACCAACACCTGACACTCTGAAATCCTAACACCCCAGATTCCTCCACTGGCACCCCAAGCCTGACTCCCACACAAAAGCGTCACTCAATGCTCTTCCCTGAAACCTGTATATCCTGGACACCCCCCAACCCCAAACCAGTCCTAGACATTTCCAGGATCCTCCCCATGGCCCTTCCAGCTCCTGAAACCTGTTTCCAGATTGATTTCACTTCACAGGATAGTTTCTATACTATGCCATCACCTGTTCAGGGCTCTCAGTAGTGAGTTCTGAAAGAAGGATCTGCTGAGGCTCCAGAGGGGACAACAGCTCCAGGGAACTGCCACCGAGTGGGCAGGCAGGGAGACGGAGCTGGCGCTCAGAGCACTGCTCACCTGTGGGCGGGGCAGGCGCTTTAAAGGCCTTCTTCAGCCCGCCCGGCCCCCCTCCCCCCGCCCCACCCACAGCCAGTCAGCCTCCTCCTGCCCCTGCTGCCCTCTGCTGCCTGGTGCTCCATCCCCCACAGCCACCGCTGCAGCTGGCCATCACCTGGCAACGCCAACCTAGGGTGACGCCCTTCCTGGTCTGAAGGAGAGAGAGGCCTGGGGGTGAGCCAGGTGACCCCCAAGAACCGAGTGCCCATCACCACAGTAATGTGCAGATGCTTCTTCCCTTGCATCTGCTGATACATTCACACACACCCTACGTGCTCACAGGCACACACATCTGCCCAAGCTATACATTCACACACAGATACACACATAAACACCTCCTAGTGCTCACGAATACACACACACACACACACACACACAGAGTGAACTCTGTTCACAGCAATAGACAACAGAGCAACATCTGAGGTACATAAAGTCTCTTTCTCTCTCACACACACACACTCACACACACTCACACAAGCATGCCCACACATGCTTTCAAGGAAATGGCCAATGCTTGGCAGTTTCTGCCCCCTCCTCAGAGTAGCAAACGACTCCTACCTAGTCTTTTTCCCTCCACAAAACTTCAACTTCCCTAGGGGGAGGGTATAGCTCAGTGGTAGAGTGCATGCCTGGCATGCACGAGGTCCTGAGCTCATTCCCAAGTACTTCCACTAAAAATAAGTAAATAAGTACTTCCCCCTAAAAACCTTCAAATGCCCCATCTTTCTCCTCTCTGCGTTTTTCTCCCTCCCTACTCCTTTCTCTCCTGTCTTCCCTCAGCACTCTGTAGCCACCTCTTCCCTTCCTGCCAGCAGGGGGCACCATGGTCCCACAAAAGCACCACCCTCCCCCTCCCTCCAAAGCCCTGCAGCTCTGTAATCCCCATCATCACTAATCCTTCCGGGGCTGTTGGTCCTAGTTCCCATTCCAACACTCCTGATGTCAAGGTGCTGGGAAAGTTCTGCCTTTGAGTCACTCAGACCAAATGCTTGAATCTTGCTTCTGTTGCTTATTAACTGTGTGAACCTGGGGGCGTTTCTTAGACTTGGTTTTAAGCTGCTTTCCTGGTCTGTATAACAGAATAGTTCTGGCGTTTCTGGGGTTTATTGGGTTTTAAAATGAGATTTTTCTCCCCATTCTGGGACATGAGAAAATGATCACAGACTGAGGAGGTCAGAATAGGGAGAGTTACAGCTGGAGGGGATGTGTAGAAGAAGTAGATTTTTAAACAAGTTTTGCTTTTAGAAATGGAGGGAGGCAGCTGAAGAGACAGGAGAGAGAAGAAGGCTGTTAACACTAATATTTGTACAAATCATGTTTTAAATGCATAACATATATTACAAGTTCTTTTCCCTCTTCACAACAATCCTGAGATAGATCCTCTTTTCATCTGCTTTTTTAAATATGGGGAAAAAGAGGCACAGAAGGTTAAGTGCCCATTTCTGAATGACTGAATGAATTCAATGGCCTTTGGACCTTCGCCGTCCCACATCTGAATCCCAGCCGGCCTCTAATTGTGTGACTTCACCTAACTGAGCCTCAGTTTCCTTATACAGTTGATGGATATGTGCAGAACTGCAGAAGATCTGAGTCATCCAAGATGCACATTCTCAGCTGAGGCTGAACAAGGAACGCCCTGCCTTCATACATGTGTTAGATAAACTTCACTCAGGCAAATGTTATGGAGCTATTGGCTGTGAATTCAATTTTTTTAAAAGCTTTTTGGGAGGGATTCAGTTTACCTTTAGAGGCAGTACTGGGGATTGAACCCAGGACCCTTTGCATGCTAAGCATGTGCTCTACCACTTGAGCTATACCCTCCCCCAGTGAATTCAATGTTAATGACAATAGTATATTTTCAATTAGGTGCCTTTAACAGAAACACCTAGAAAACTAGGTTTTTGTTCAGTTGGTGAAAATGTGACCAGAGGCTAGTAGGAATCAACCCTGTATTTCTCTCCTAGGAGCACTGACTCAATATTTGCTAATTGAGTGTTTGTGGTGACTTTATTAGAACATAACTACCATGAATAATGAGAATTGACTGTATGTGAAAGAGAAATAGGATAGAATCTCCTTGTAGGGTTGTTGTGGGGTTAGATGAGATAATGTTTGTAAAGTATTTGGCACTGTGTTTGGCTCATAGTAAGTACCCAACATTGCTAATACTGTGAATGTGGATGAGTGGGAGAGTGAGGGACTGATTTTTCCCTACTCAGAATTCCTTTTCCCAAGGGGCCAACCTGAGGTTTTTCTGGCTTTTGGGCTGGACCTGTGGAGAGAATTGTGAGGCAGCCTGACCCCTGGGAAGGGGCTGAGGACCAGGACATGCAACAAAGAGCACCACCCTGTGTCAGACTCCATATGTCATAGAGGCCTCAGCTGCCTGGCCAGTAGCACCCTCAGGCAACTTACAGAAACTCCCTGTGTCCATGGGGCCATCTCAGCTCATTCGTGCCCCTCGGCCCCGGGGCTTAAGTTCCTCCCACCGCAGGCCAGGTATAGGTTGGCCTCGGCCCCGGTTTCCCAGGATGTTTAAGTGTAGCCGCAGAAGGTACCGGCAGAAACCCCAAGGCCCAGCTGCCACCACAACAGCCACCAATCTTGCCACCATGGCCACGGGTATTAACAGAACCCACACTGTCACCACCAGGGTGTGGATCCTTCCATCACAAGGTTAGCTGGGGTTCCTGAGCTGGGGGGGGGCTGGAAGAACGGGGTCAGTGAAGGTTTCCCCACCGTAGCCCTGCACAGGCACTCTAGGGGACATGCATCCTGTGAAATATCACCCCAAAGGCATAGTGGGCTCTTGGTGGCAGGCGGCCCAAAGGCTGAGAGCCTTACTAAAGGGCGTACTGGCTGGGAGCAGAGGGCCTGGGGGAATGGGTAAATCTAAGAGCAGTGGAGCTTCCAGAACTGCTGTCTTCCTCACACTCTTCCTTCCCTCCTCAGTTCTCAGACACCTCTGTCAGCCTGGCAGCTTTCTGATCCTTTAGAAATGCCCAGAAACCAGTCCAGAAGCTTGACTTGCTCCGAACCTGCATCTCCTAGGGGCCATGGGTGGTGAACAGCAAACAAATACAATCATTTCTGCTCCAACTGCCTTACTCCACTCCAAGGTATTTCTAGCTGACTATGCAGGGTAGGAGGGCAGGGCTGGGGCTGAATGCTCCCAGGGACAGGCTTCAGTGACAGCAGCAGGCATCACAGTCAGACAGTAGAAGGACAGAACAAGGTCAGCAACACACACCATCTCTCCATCTTTGGCCTCAGCTTTTGAGCTGCCATGTGAGGTAGGGGACTGTTCTGCCTTGCACACCCATCTGCATGGGGAAAAGGGTCTCTGTAGACATCTTGTGAGGTATAGGGGGCCAGGTCCTTGGGAGGGAGGTAGAAGCACAGATCAGCAAGGAATAGTGTGAAAGATTTCACTGATTCAGTGCAACCTATGAGTGCCGGAGTGTGAGGTGTATGTGACTGTGTACCTGTGAGGTCAGTGTGTGTGAGACCAGGAATGGGAGTCTAAGCAGACAGGGGGCTGAGTGTGCCTCTGCAATCGAATGTGCCTCCGTGGCCAGCTGTGTGTGTCAAGGTGTGTTTTGAGAGTATGAGTGGGCTAGAGAGAGAGGCCTCGGCTCCACAGAGAGGCATGAAGGTCAGGAGAGGGATGGGGGTGGCCTGAAGAGGAGAGGGTTAGCTTCTGAGGGGGGTGTACCACCATCAGTCCCTCAGCCGCTCTCCGAGGTCAGGATTTTTTCCCCAAGACTAACAGCTGAGCTGGGGTGTGGGGGTGGGGCGAGACTGAGTTAGAGTCCAGAAAGGGGGAGGGTGCTAAGCACTCAGGCCTGGGGATTTTCCATTTGGATTTCTGAGTGTGCGCCATGTGTCATCGGGTGTAACTGTGTTTCTGTGGGGTGTGTCTCCATGGAGTTGTGTCTAAGGGCAGGAAACATTGTGAGGGACTTTGTCTCTAAGGTGTCACTTTATGCATGAGTTAGTGTGTGTCCCAATGTCTCAAGATCTGGCTCCAGTTCCAGGGCTCACTTCCTTGAGGGGTGGGGGTGGGAGTGGATGCTGAGACCTGTGGCCTGGCCCCCTGGAGTCCAGGAAGCCTGTGAGGAGAAAATGAATTGTGTCTGTGTTTGTCTACTCCAAGGCTTGACAAAGACTGGGACCCTGAGAAGAAGGGGGAGTAGAGAATTCACGGACACATCGTGCCCAGTGCTGGTGGAGGATGAGCTGCCTCAGGGTAGGGGGAGTGCTTAACCTCAGTCAGAGCTGGAAGATGGCTGGGCTAGTGCCCAAGGCCCATGGTCGAGGGAGGGGGGCGGTGCATGTATATGAAGACCCATGTCACAGTCCACAAACACACACAGATGTATAAATATAAGTGGACTCACATATAAGAATATATGTGGACTCAACTGTAAGATACACAGTACAACAAATACACACATGCATACAAGTACATGCCTGTAACTAGAGATATGCACTGACACAAACGCACATAAACCTCCCCACATGACCCATGTAACAACACACATACATGCCTACGAATGAACACGCACGGACACAAGCAGGCATGCACCTAGACACAGCACACAAGCAACACAGACAGACACATGCAATCATATTCACACAGACACACACACATGCAGACACACTCACCAGACTTCCCTGCCCCTGCAGCCCTGGGACCCAGAAGCCTCCCTCCCCTATATGAGTGAGTGTGTGTGTGTATGTGTGTGTGTGTGTGTGTGTAGGCATGCACGCCCACAGTTGTGTCTGTGTGTTATCGGTGTGCGAGTGTGTGTGATTTGTGTGTGTTTATGTGTGTGAGTGAGGGGGGTGCTAAGCTGTGGGAACCAGATGACATCATCTCTTCTGGCTATTTTTAGCTCCCTCTGCAATGACGGCTCCTCCACTGCCCCTCCCCCTCTAGGTTCCTAACTCTCCTCCCCCTTCAGGCTCCTAGAGGCAGCTGCAGCCAGGGGGCACCACTCCAGTCTAGGTGACCCTCTGGATGACTGAGTACAGTTCACTCTCTCCCACCCCAGCCAGAGCTCCCTGGAGGCTGAGAACACAGGGCTCCCAGGCTAGAGGAGGGGGCTTGGGCTGTGTGGCAGCCCGGAGAAGGGGCCTGAGCTAGGTGAGCTGACCTGGCTGGTCTCCAGCTCCTAGGGTGCCTCTCCTTCTGCTTTTCACTGGGAAACTATGTCTCTGTCAGTAGTGCCTGCTATGCGCCAGAGAGGGTGCCAAGTTCTGGAGACAGAGCAGTGAGCAAGATAGTGGGAGTCCTTCCTGGGGGGCATTACAGCTCGGTGGGAGATAGACTTTACAAAGGTCCCCCAGGCACTGCACTGAATGGCGGCAGGGAGGGCTCTGATCGCTGGTAACAAGGGGACTTAGTCTGGAATGATGTTCTCTGTCTGTCTCCCATAGAGGTGAACTGAGGAAACCAGAGGGACATAGCCTCTTTACCTTGTACCTCTCACCCCAACATCCACACCTCCGGAATTCCACAGAGCAGTGCCTCCTTGTCACATCCCATGCTGTGCTCCCAACCCAGCGCCAACCCACTATCCGAGTGGGGCCCACTGCTATTAGTGTCTCCCTTTTTTTGGAGCCTCCCCACAATCGATCCCTGTGAGGCTATCCAGTGTTTCGAATCCACAGATGAGAAAACTGAGGCCCACAGAGGGGGCAGTGCTGGACCACACCTCCCAGTGCTCAGGGAGCAGCCCGGGGGAGATGGCAGGCAGGTGGAGGAGGAAGTGGCAGTGGCACTGCTGCAGGAGGAAGAGGGGTGAGGTCAGGAGGAGGGTGGTGGCAGTAGAGGGGTGGCCTGAGAGGCTCATGTCTGGAGGATGGCTTCCTCTCTAGCCAGCCTTGGGCAACCACTGGAAAATCGGGTTTGGCAGCTTCCGCCAAGCTACAGGGCCCGAGGAGGGGTCCAGACAGCACCTGGGAGGTGGCCTGGGGGCGGGCCCATCCTCTAGCAGACAGTCTGGCTATTGGGGGAGCATTTTAAAATACTGGCACCCTTTGGAGTGTGGGGAGAATAGCTCTGGGCTGAAGGCAGGAGCCTGGAGTTACAGTCCTGGTTCTGCCTCAAACCCTAGTGTGATCCTCAGAAAGTCCTGCCCCCTTTCTTGCCCTCAGTGGGCCCTCCCAGGAGGTGCTCTGGAAGATCAAGTTCCCCCACCCCAACTCCTGCCCTCCATGTTTTCCTGGGAGTCTGACTGGGGCACAGGAACACAAAGTCAGCGGGTAGGGGCCACCCAGACAGCCCCTGGGGCGCCAGGCTGGAGGCCCCTTGTTACCGGTGGGTCAATGGCCGGAAGCCCAGCTCCAGCCCTACAATGCAGTACTGGTCACTCCACCCTTGCCAGTGTGCCCTCACCCACACCCCCACTTCCTGCCTCTGTTCCTTCCTCACCTTCAGGGAAAGCTGCAGGGCTCCCTAGGGAGGCTCCCATATCTCCTCCACTGGCTCCCTGCCCCGTGCTCAGCCCTCCCCGTTTTCTCATTTGGCCAGGCCAGTCTCCCAGTAAACTTTCTTTTCCCGGACCCTCAGGCAGGCCAGGGAGGAAAGGAAGCTGGGTGGGAGGGCTGTAAAGGAGCCTGCTTTTCCTGCTACCCCTACACACTGGAGCCCAAATGAGGGACTTGGGGGAGGTGGATGGACTGAAGGCAGGGGCCTAGGACTGGGCTGCCCGGGCATATCCCACCCCTGGCAGCCCCAGGGGAGGTAGGAATGCTATCCTTCACTTATTCAGCCATCTTCTTCCTCTGCCTTCAGCAAATTCAGAGACAAGAGCCGAGACTTGCATCCTCTGGAAAACAAATGCAGAAACCCAGGCCAAGTGAATCCTGGTTGTTGTCACCATGTCAACGATAAATCCATGAAGCACAAAAATCATAAAATTCTAGATGCACACAATCCATGGTCACAGAATCTTAGCATCGCAGAATTCTAGCATGGTGCAATTTGGATCGCAGAATCTTAGAAACATTGAATTCTAACATTACTGAGTTCAGATCACAAGGTTAGAGTATCCTTGAGTTGGAAGTCAAATTGGCTTGAGACGTCAATTGGTAAAAGGTGGATGTGTAAACCAGGGGATTCCCCACTGGGGACGGGCACGGAAGTTCTTACATAAACATGAAGGAGGAGGCAGAGCCTGAGACATATTAGCTTAGTTAGGGTGAGGTAGCACACTTGCAATAAACCAGACAGGAGACAGACCTCTTCCATAAGGACATATTCCTGGTTCCTGAAGATGAGGGGAGTGGGATGACAGTGGGGAGAGAAGGGGGAATTACATAAACAAAGAAAATATAACCTAAAAAAAATCATTGAGTAGCATAATACACTGGCCCCAATGACTCCAACTCCCCTGTGATTGGGGTTAACATCAGCCCAGGACATTTTCAAAGGTTAGTATGACTCCTTATCATATTGGAATGGCTTTTTTTTTAATTGATCAGAAAGATACCAAACAAAATAGTCCATATACTACACTTTTCTCGTGGCTTCTGGGAGGAGCAGACTCTCTCCAAAGGGATGCTGAACCTTGAGCAACATGGTGTACACCAAAACCTTCCTGTGGGGCAGGATTCAGGGCTTCCAGCAAGGCAGCGGTAGGCGACCTTGTGGAGGGCATCTGTCTGGGGTGGTGCCTACTGGGGGCAGGCATCTCCATGGAAGGAGCCAAGCTTGAGGCAGCACTTTGTATAGGGACCCTTGTCTGATTATGGGGTTGGTTACTCAGTAAACAACAGGGATATTTACTCAGCATTTCTGGGAAACTACTGCAAACTCAGGAACCCAGAAGAGGCAGCCCCTGAGAAAGGCAAATGCCAGGCCCTGCTGGGCATGGGAAATGGGTCAGTGTCAGCTAGAGATCCCCTCGCTTAGTTGCTTGTCCATGGACTCAGCCCTGACCTCTACCCACACTTCCACTTGCCTCTCTCTCCCTACTTGCCTGCTGTC